ACTAAGTAACGTACTCTCTCTCTCTCTCTCTCTCTCTCTCTCTCTCTCTCTCTGTGTATTTGTTGGATCGATTTTGTTTGGAGGGGAGGAGGCAGTAAGGTGAGGACGCTGGAACATGTGTTGAAGATGAGTCTCTCTGACTCTAGGCTATGTATGTGTGTGTTATATCGGTTTTTTTTTTTTGAAGGGTAAGTCTCTCTCTCCTGTATCCTATTTATTTATTGTTAAGTTCGTTACTCACTTAATGAACCTCCTTTGAAATTTCAGTCAATGAGTCCTCATATTTTTCTACTGATTAAAATATGGTCTTCGTTGTTTATTAATACTTCGATTCTAAATTAAGAAGGGGTCTCTTTCTTGGCATTATTACCCAAGGTTTATTATCAAGATTTCCACTGAAATTTTTTGTTTCATTTGTGTTGTAATCCCATTAATTCATTATTCTCTCAAGTTTGATATAATTAGTTTGGCACAAAAGAAGAAGTTAGTGTCCAAGCCCAAAACAAGGCCTCTCTCTCTCTCTCTCTCTCTCTCTCTCTCTCTCTCCTCTTTTTATGATGAAGAAAAGAAAACCAGATAGTGGTCCTGGAAAACTGTGTCTCTAGGAGCTTTAACTCTAATTTCCATCTCTTCTTTGCCCAACTAACAAAGTGGTCCTAAACACACAAAAAAACACCTCTCTGTCTCTCTCTCTCTCATGAATTTCCTTAACAAAGTGGTCCTATACATAATTCCTCTCTCTCTCTCACTATGTTTACCAGAATGGAAGCCAACAACTCCGGGCTCACTCGAACCCGGTCGGAGCAGCTACAGGTGCTGGACCGTAAATCCATCAGCAAATCATCGTCCACTGAGCAGGACAAAGACAACAATGCAGGGAGCCGGAAGTCGAGCTTTGGCCGTAAAATGACTGCATCACCAAGCCGACGTTCGCACATACGCAAGTCTCGCAGTGTGCAGCTGAAGCTCGACACCGACGAATTCACTTCCCAAATTGGTGGGGGGCTCATTGAAGAGTCTTCGACTGCTCTGAGTCGAGCTTCGAGCGCGAGCCTCGGCTTCTCGTTCTCTCTCGCTGGCTTTGCCATGCCGCCCGACGACATGGCCGATCTCGGTGGCCTCCTCAACGAAGTCGACAATAATTGTAAGAGAAACCAATTTAATTTTTATTTTGGGAAAGGGCCGGCCTCCTCAACGAAGTCGACAGTAATTGTAAGAGAAACAAATTTAATTTTTATTTTGGGAAAGGGCCGAGGTTGTGGTAGTAACACACGAGTTGCACATTGTGGCTTTCATTTTCACTTTTCGTTCCAAATACTACTCACTAATTCAAATACTGGTAGGGGCCTGATACTACTCACTAATTCAAATATTGGTAGGGGCCTGACATCCGATTGAATTAACCGGAAAGAACATAAATTATTTCTTTATCCTAATTCTTTTCATTTTTTTGATATACTCTGCATATTTTTATGTAATTTTTTTTTGTAATTTTTATATTTCATCCTCTTGGCTCAGTAATTATGGTGGAACACCGTGGTCCCGGATTAAGATGGCACCTCACCCACCTAAAAAGGGCAAAAATGGAGCTGTCCATATTAAATATGGATGCAGTTTCTACAATGATGCAACCTTAAACAATCCAATTAAGGCACACCTTAAAATTTTATCATAACATGTAATTTTGTTATAAAAAATTCTTAATATTATCTTAAAATCTATTTTCATACCTAATTAGAAAATTATAAATTTTAAAAATGTTTAAAATCAAGTAGACCTATAAATATATGAAAATATTGAAAATAGACTGTCTAGATAATGTGTTGCAAGATACACTATTTTCAGGACTCAAAAACCTTTTTTTTTTTTTTTCATATTCATAATTCTCAATATCGTGATGATCGATTAGAGGGTTTATTCAACATTAAAACAACATTTCCTGATAGATTTTTGAGGTGTGTATGTGATTCTACATTTTATGGTTGCAACCATATATAAACTTTTCCCATTAAATATTTATCAACTATTTATTTTATTTTTTTAATTAAATTTTAGGTTTTTTTTATGAATTTCTAAAATTTTGTACATTATTAGTGCAATATGGAGAGACGATGAAGTTGGAGGGCGACGTCGAAATGGGGAAGCGTAAGCCAGCTTTGATGGAGCCAACTCTGCCTATTTTTCTCAAGGTACAATAGAAAGATAAAAAAGTACAAAAGATAAATAAATAAATAAAAAATTTCTAAAGCCTATAGGCAAAGTGAATAGGTTTTTTGCCCCCACAATGAGGCATAATAGGTTAATTGCGGGTTTAATCTGCCACAAACCTACTATGTCTATGGCGATACTGCAACGGACATACTGATGGTCGAGTTTTTCCCACCATCCAAAAAAATCAGATGGTGGCGAGCCTATAGGCAAAAATATTGTTCATTTTCGCCTTAGTTCAAGGCTTTCCAAAGAAAAATATAACTGAAAGAAAATGGCACAAATGCATTTTAATTTATATGTGTAAATGAACATCTTACTATGGTATTATCATCTAATGTCTTGGAGCTTAAAAAAGAAGAAGTAATAGTGCAATAAAGACAAACCAATAAAGAGAAAAGTAGCGGGGCAACATTTTCTTTCATTTAATTTTCAGGTTATTTCTCAGCAAACCAAAAATGGGTAGATTTTCTCTTTTCCATCTTTGATGAGAAGTCCCCCCTTTTCTTTCTTCTCTATATTCCATGTATGAGTTTGAATTGGAACATAAAAGAGTTGGGTTCAGTGTCATCTTAATGTGTTCTTGTCCTTTATTTTTCATATTTTTTTCCTTTTTGTTCACTCTCATTTTCTTCTCCCTCTTTTTTTCCTTCTCTCTCTTCTGGGCTGCAGTTTTCAGATGTAAGATACAAGGTAGTATTGAAAGGAAGGAGGGCATCAATGGAGAAAGAGATATTGAATGGGATTAGTGGGTGTGTGGATCCAGGGGAAGTATTGGCACTAATGGGACCTTCAGGTAGTGGGAAGACAACCCTACTTAATGTCTTAAGTGGGAGAGTAAAGAACACAACACTAGGAGGAGGAACCATCACATACAATGAACATCCTTACTCTAAAACATTCAAAAGAAGGTAACATATCCTACACTTCCACTTCAAAAAATTTGGAGCATTTTTTTTTTGACTTTCTTTTCAGCTTTTCAATTTCAAGTCCCCTTTTCCATGTTTTTTTAAAAAAAACACTGGAGAAGAAAATTTAATTAAATTGAAAACAATTTAATTTGTTTTGCAAATTATAGAAAAATTGTGTAGTTCATGCGAGTGTGGCCTTGTGAAAAAAGTAGGGTCGCGCCTCTGAGTACCACTGGAAAATGCTGCGTTGGAAGCTCCAATTGCAATGATGGCTTCAAAATCTATTTCTAACCCTAATTATGTAAATTGAGGCTTTAAAATAGCGCAGCTTTGACAACTTACGAACAATTGAACATGGACTGTCTAAATAGTGTATTGCAACAGCATTATTTTTAAGACTGAAAACTTTTGTCTTTTAAATCCAGTTAGTGGAAGTTAAGATGATCAATTTGAGGGCTTTTTTTGGGCACAATGATAATGCATCCCTGCTAATTCTGAAGGTGCGGCCCTACTTTTTTAGGAGGGCCGCGGCCATATATAACTTGTTTTCCAAAAAAAAAAAAACAAGAAAGAAACCATTGAAAGTTTTTTAAATATATTATTGTATTTACAAGGCGAATGATAAGCTCGACATGATTAATTCAATTGAGGGGCAAAGGGATAATAAACAAAAGTCGGGGAAGAGAGGAAAGATGAGCTCAAAACAAAAGGTCAAAAAATTTGCCGGGACTTGAACCCGGGTCGCTCGGGCAAGAGCCAAGTGTCCTTACCAACTAGACTTCAACGGTGACCAAAGGCTATGTCTTTTGGCTTATACTTGTTTTATTGTATGTATTAATGTTCAATAGAGTTATTTAGGTAGTAAATTTGTGTGAATATTCATGAATTTATACTTTTGGGATTTTTCCTTTTTCTTTTTTATTGGAAAAGGATTTGAGAAACGTCATTAAGAGATTTAAGCAAAATAATAATGAAAACTACCATAAGTTAAACCGTTGGGCATATTGAGTTAGGGAGGGTGGAAATCAATGGCTTTTGGTAATGGGAAAAGTTTATATCGAGCCGAGGCTCTAAACAATCAAATGAGAGCCTACTTCAAATATTTTACTAAAAATAGTTGTTTTGATTTTCAAATATCCTCAAATTGACATCTCGACATCAAGATGCATGGACATGAGAAAAAAATGGATTTCAAATTGTGAAAATAGTGTATTTTGTAATACATTTTTGGACTGTCAATTTTCAAGAGTTTCAAGCTTTCATAGATTTGTCGATCTAAACTATTTTTTAAGCTTTAAACTTTATAAATAAAGATGAAAAAATATTTTACGGCTATTACAAATATTTTCAATATTAAAACCACATTTCTCGATACTTTTGAAGGTAAGCTCTAATTTGATTGTTTAAAGCTCTATACAAACCGTACCCTTTGGTAATATCTTAAATAAATTTTTTCCCCTAATCATTAATAAATTAGAAATAGAAATAAAACAATATTGAGAAAGAATGTTTCTAGAATGATAACAAACACTAAACCAAATGAAGGATCTGGACCAGTCAGAACTTTTAGTTGAACAAATTAAGTCAGTATTTTTAAAAATAAATAAAGCATATAAACAATAGTTGAAAAATATTATATGGACTCAAAAAAATAACCATTATTGTTTAGTCAAACCCAACAAATCTAACTAACCAAAAAAATCATACAATGATTTTTACTAATTTTCAATCAAATTAGGCTTTTGCTCAAACTAAGCTAGCCAAGGCATTGATAAAAAATCTGGCTGATTGAACATGTTGGTTCTATCTAATCTTAAACGGTGTTAACTTGAAAACCCCTTTGGGCCAAGTTTACTCCTTATTTTCCAAATTTAGGACTACTTAATTGATTTTTGCATGTGAAATTTCCAACTATGATTTCCACTCTCCAAGTATCCCTTGGACTTTGGAACTCAAAGCTTTTCAAAGGTTGGTGTCGATCTAAAACGACCCACGTATATAAGTCTCCGCTAACACAGGTCAATGTCGGCCACCACCACTACTTGTCTCAATCCAAATTTCAAATAAGTCATGGAAAACTTTTCATCAATGTCATTCCCCGGCACTGTATCAGACAACGCCGATATCGTCTTATAGGGATGGTATATTATGAGACTATTATCTTATGTGAAGAAGTCACAATTACTCTCAGTCATTGGATATTGAATTGAATGAATTGAGTTATGTCGTGAAGTTCGATAAAGAAAAAAGTTTAACTTCGGTTATACTCTTACAAATACTTGATTTGAAATTTGATGGATAAAACGATTGGGAGCTCTTTGTATCAAAAGTAAATAGTCTCTTTATATATTTTTCTATTTATTATTGTACTTTGGAGGGCTCTTTATTTTATATTTCGAAAAAGAGAATGTTTTTGCTTTTTTGAATGATCGAGAGAAGTCTTCGGGTGAGTTTTTAGAAATAAAATAAATAAAAATTCATATTATTCTGTAATTTTGAAACATAAAAATATCTTCAATATATTTTCCAAATTGCAGATATCAAAGAGATAGTTTTACAGGGATTTAAATATTGCAACGGTGTATTCATTGAGTTTAAAATGAAGTTTCGAAATTAATACACATATGTAGAAACCAAATATTTTGAAACTCAAATCTATAGTGCAGATTACTCATCCAACTATCTATGTCGGATCGTTGCATTGATGATTCAGTTCAAGTTTGAATCAATCAAAATTATTGATCCATAAAATATTAAAAAATAAATAAAATTAAATTAAAATTAAAATAGAGGTTAGTGGGGATTTAGAAGGGACATAATAAAACATTACATAAGTTTTATATATATATATATATATATATATATATATATATAT